GCCCGCCCGCTGGCCCGGCTGTCACCGTCTCATCTGCATAGGAGCCCGCCCATTGGGCCGCCCACCCGAGCCTTATCTGCATGGCCACGCCCCCGGCGACAGAGCAACCGTCGCCTATTGGCTGGTACGCTCCCTTACGAAGATACTTGCTGTGCACCCGCTCCCCCAACGCTACGCATGCTCGCAACTGCCTACTCGCCCGGCTGACTGGCCGCCTCGCCACGCCCCCTCTCACACCGTCCTTTGGGGCCTGGCCACGCCCCCACGCGTCACAATGAAACAAGTCCGCCCTTTCCCCAATGTCATTGGTCCATGTCTCCTAGCTCCAGCAGATGGTTCTGCCCCCTTGCGGGAGAGTTCTGACTACTATTGGACTGTCCCGTGAGAGGGGCAGGGGTAATCTATAAATAGAGAATGGGTCCACGTGACATTTTGGCAGCTGCTCCTTCCCTTCACCCTTCGTAACTCTCAGCTTCGGAGGCTGCGCCGGGGGCAGAAGGGATAAGAGAGAGTTCTGATTTTGCCTCCTCTTCCACGAAGCCTTCCTAGATATTCAACTGTAAAACTGTAGGGCCAGGCCAGCTAAGACCGACATCCTCCCATAAAATTATTTTTCTAAGTGGGGCCGGCTTCGCTGGCATACGACCGGCTAGAAGGGTCACCGAGCTTGGTTTAACACTCTGATGTTATTGTCTTGAAATTCTTATTTTGTGAACAAGGTGCCCTGAGTTTTCATGTTGCACAGGGCCTTTCAAATTAGATAGCCAATCTTACTTCTAAGAGTCTAAGATCGATCATGTCCCAAATTCTGGAATTATAAGACCCTGGGTGTAAGATTTTATGATTCCACCGGAACAGAATCTAAGCTTCTTTTGTCTCTCAGATGCTGCGAGGCTTTGCGCTCACCGTTCTACGATTCCAGAGGCCTTTGTTCTACGTTCTAAGAGGCTTTGTTCTCTGGCTTCTAAGATGCTCTGTTCTCAACGTTCTGTGGTTCATAAGAGTCTGAGCCTAACATTCGTTTCCAAGGTTCCGTCCTCCCTCTCCGGGCTCCGCGAGCGGGGCTGGCGCCCCCTCAGGCGGCCAGCCTGTGTCACTACGCCGAGCGTACGTCCCTACAATTTTCAAGATCTAGCGCCAATATTCATATCCATGTCTCATATAGACCTTGACTCCCTGAAAACCAGAGCCCAGAAGACGTAGGACCCTCCGTTTTTTATGATCCTCCGTGCACCAAGTGACCTTCTGGCCCTGAGTTGGAAAAACAGCTTTAGTGACTGAGAGCAGATTCCAGAACCAGACTGCCTGGGGTGATCCCCAGGTTTGCCACTTTCTAGTTGTGTGACCTTGGGAAACGTGCTTAACCTCTCTATGCCTTAATTTCCTTAGCTGTATAAAGGGGGTCGCATTATTGCCTGTCTCAGAGTTGTTATGAGGATTAAGTGAGATGTTTGTCAAGTGCTTGAAGCAGTGCCTTCCATGTATAAAGAGCCAGAGAAGGGTCTAATACATAAGTAAAAAATCATTTAAAGAGTCCCAAAGAGACTAATGAGCTGGATTTTAATAGAGACAAACTTTACTCAATCTTCCTCTTGTTTAAGATGGACTGGGACTGTCCTTAAACTGCCTTAATTTACCAACAATAATGAAAGGGGATATGGAGAGCTCTCTCTCAAACAAGATTTTCTTAGTAGTTAGTGTCTGGGGTGATGTCAGGATTGGTTTTGATCCCTGCTGTTTGTGCAAGACCCACAGAACCATTTGTTATGTAAAATGCTGGATCTGGAGCTGATTTAGGGTTCTGGTCACCAGCCATTTGAAGATGAATATTCCTAGGAAGATAAATAAAGAGAATTATTAATAGTTGAATAAGGGAATAAAATCAAGATTTGAGACCAGAGGGCAGCTAGTTGAGAGGGTTCCAAGTAGGAGGTGAGGAGAGATCCTTGGCTGGTGAAGTCAGAACAGCGGTAGCAATTTTGTGGATTTTCTTGTTGGCCTGTTGATGCAGATGACGATGGTGTCTGGAGAGTTCCACAACCCACAAGTCTCTCCCCTGGAAGCCCCTAACCTGGGTCCAAGAGTTGCCCACACATGGTCAGAGTCCATATTAAATACTTGGAGTTTACACACCAGCATTTGGTTTCCTGTTCCAAGGTTTCTTTGGGTTCTAATGAAAAAAGGAGATCATGGGCATCCTGAATCTTGTGTTCGCATGATTGTCAGCCTCTGCAGGATTTGACAGGTCTCTTATGTTTATAAGGAGTCAGGGCTGGACAGGAGAAAGCATGAAGTTTAGGTATTGACAAAAGGGAAATTGAAATGCTGATCAGGACTGCAAAGTCTCCACATGTAAATTATCCATCATCAGGGGACAATTCAAGACTCATGGATGTAATTGCCTTGTTTATTTGAGTGATCAGAAAACAAAGGTTGATTAAAGCTGGAAAATCAAGGAGAAGGTGCAGGATCATGGGATGAGTCACAAGAGGCACGATGCCACTGATACAAAGAGAAATTCTTGGCGGCATCAGTTGACTTGGGATTAGTAATATTTTGATCTCTGGAAAACCCTGGTTGAGTTCAATGAGGAGGTGGTTCCTGCCATTAGAGTTGTTACGGTGTCATTTATTGCATAGATGTTCAGTGATTACAGAGACTGAGTCCCATGAAGGGGCCATTATGGAAGCTGAGGAAGAAGCATGTGAATCCTGATTCATAGATGGTGAGATAGGGAGAGCTTCCTGTAACAATCGAGCACTGAGTTGGGAGGGGTCTTGGAGAGGGGTATGTGGAACAACGCTGAATCCATCTGCAACAATCCTATTTCCAAAATCCGGTCACATTCCCAGATACTAGTGGATAAGACATATATGTATATATTGGAGGGGAACACAATTCAACCCACAACAGACCCAGAAACAATTGGAATTGCATATTAGTCTTGGGTGAAGATGAAATTAATGATGGGGTAAATGCATTCTGCCAATAAGGTTTTACCTTCAGGTGCAACGTCATGCCCTAAATAGTGTACTTGTCAAAGTTTTAATTTGTCCCCAGATACCTTGCATCCCTCTGAGCCAGGGCCTGGAGTAGATATTGCGTGTCAGCGAGTGAGCTGTTGGATGAAGAGGGCAGACGGCAAGGTGATTAGAGAGGAAGCGCGAGGGAAAACCAAAGCCCTCCAGTTTACACTGAGAGTCTGAGAAAAGTACACAGGAGCTTCAGGGAATCCTTGAGACATACCTGTCCCTGAGTAGTGTTGACTTTCCCAGGTGAAAACCAAAAGGGATTGTGAATCACAGTAAAGGCATGTGAAAGAAGGTGGAGATGTGGATTCACACAGTACAGTAGATGGTGTTGGAAGGTACGGAGAGAGGCCAGGACGGTGTTTGGAGTGGAACTCTCAGGAACCAAGGTTTGACTGTTTTATTTATGGCCTAGAGGTCTTGGACTAGCCAGTACCCCAGCAGTAAGTTTGGGGTTCTTGACAGACAATATGGAAGTGTTGCAGGGGCTGGAGGGGGGAGTCCGGAGGCCTTGAATAGTGAATGGGTTGAGGCCTTAGTGGGCCCCTGGTGTCAGACTTGTTGAGGTGGCTTCAGGAGGGGCGCGTGGGAAAAATCGCTTTCCACTTTCAGAGGCTCAGCCTCCAAGATGCACCCTATGTATGTTGGGTTGGAGGCCCAAAGAGAATCGGGAACTTGGGTCAGCATATCTTGAATCAATGGCCCTAGGGGAGAGGTTGATGGTTATTTTAGAGGGCTGGGGGTGAGGAAGATGAATGATCTAAGATGGACAGTTGTTGCAGTCAGGGACTGTGAGAGACAGGCTCACCTGTGAATCTGAAATCTTAATGTTCCCAACTGACAGAATATCCCTTGCTGAAAGATTTATTGGAGTAGTTTGAGGAAGAAACTGCTTAGTAAGGGGCCTAACGAGATGGAGAGTGGCTTAGACAAGGGTAAACGGTGTGGCATTTCATGGAAATCATTGCTGGGTACTGAGGGAGGAGAGGGGTGGGAGGACTGATTAATACTTAAGGGGGTGGGAGTGGCCCCTGTATCTACAAAACTGGTGGTAGATTTCCCATCAGTGGGGATGGGCATTTCCCCCTGTGAGCTGAGGCGTATTTCTGGACACAAAGGAGAAAGTCTGCTGGGAGTCACTGGGGAGACCAAATCTTAGGCTCGAATTCCTTTTTGTATTTTAAAGCTGGGCAGTCTCAAGTCCAATGTCCCTTTTCTTTACAGTATCTATAGGTGTCTCTATCAAGATTAGGTTTTGTGGTTTTTTGACAGCGATAGGATGGATTTTTAAAAATTCCTTTTGG